TTTTACTATGTGTGTCCCAGGGGTAGAATTTAGGTAGTGAGTCTTGAAGGCAAAATCCCTTACTTACTGAGCCATCTCACCAGCTCCCAAAATCCTTAATTTCCAAAGAACATTTATGTAAGTTTTATGAAAACATTAGTTTGATCACAAGAAAAGAGAAGACATACTATTGTTAACTAGGGGTAAATTAAAACTATTATTTTAATGTAAATATAAAATTACACAAGCCTGTCAAAATAAAAATAAATTGAGAATATTTTAGGTAAAATTCACAACTATTGAATTTATAATACAAAGAAACTAATAGTACCCAAATATCAAAAGTAATAATTTTTAGAATCTCTCTCTCTGTCTCTGTCTCTATCTCTGTCTCTGTCTCTGTCTCTCTCTCTCTCTTCTCTCTCTCTCTCTCTCTCTCTCTCTGTGTGTGTGTGTGTGTGTACAGATGTGTTAAGTGTGTGTCTGTTTATATGTTTGCACTTGAACTACAGCTCATGTGTGGAGGCAGAGGATAGACTTGTGTTTTTGTCCTCCATCTTGTTTGGGACAAGGACTCTTGTTCACCACTGCATAAGTCTACTTAGCTGGCCCATAAACCTTTGAGAACACTCTGTTCCTGCCTCTGATTTCAGTATAATAGAACTGGGAATATTTACAATTTCAATTACATTTGCTATGGTGTCTGGCTTTTAGATAGTTTGTGGAGATTTGAACTCAGTAAGCACTTTGCATACTAAGCCATCACCTCACCTCTTTCAAAGGTATCAGAACTGCTAAATCATCTTCTTATAAAAGCCAACCATTGTTGCCATAAACTAAAGAATTAGTTTAGCAATTTAAAATTGCTAATAAATTAAATCACTTGTATACAAAGTGATAAAAATCAAACTAATGTACAAAGAATAGTCCTAACATCCTACTTACCAAATATGACTTCATCATCCAGTCAAACTATTATTCAACTATTATTCAACTCTTATTGAACATGTGAGTTACAGACACTGTACTAGGTAATAGAGTAATAAAACCAGTGTAAATCATAACTCTAATAAAAGACTTCCATCTGTAATATATAAAATCTCAATAATAACCCAATTTTCTGAATTTTACAAAGGATTGCAAAAATACACCCTAAACACATATTCACTGGGCAACTAATCTCATGAAAATGTGTTCAACATAATGCCACAGCAATGCCAGTTAGCCACAATTATATGCTTCCATTGTCTTTTTAAAAAGCTAAATTTAAAAGACTAATGATATAATGGGCATTGTCTTAGATCTGGAACATCCATATACTGTTTATAGGAATGAAAATTGGAGAACTTTAAAAGCAAGTAAGAGTCTTCTAAAATGACAAGCATACATCTCTCAAATGCAGGTATGTCAGCCAATCATCTCCATGTTATTCCCCTATGGAAATGAGTCATTGTTTATATAAATACATGTACATATCTTCTCAGATAAGATTTATTTATAATAGGCCATACTGTAGTCACCAACTTAATGCATACACTGTGCTTTATCCAAATGAATTATTGATACATGCTGATGCATAAATAAATTTTAAATAATTATGCCAAATGAGAAAGGCAATTAAAGATTTCATGCACTCTGATTCCCTTTATATAAAAATTTAAGATTCGCAGAAAGCAATTGTTGGTTGTTAGATGCTAAAAAAAGTCTGGAAGATGTTTCATATGGGTAAGAGGCAATTCTGAGACGGGTTTATGTTCAGTATCTTGATTCTTATATTGACTGAAGTGTCCAACATATATGGTCAATTATGTGTCAATTACTCGCCTTTAATCCCAACACTCGGGAGGCAAAGGCAGGTGGATCTCTGTGAGTTCGAGCCCAGCTTGGTCTACAAGTGCTAGTTCCAGGACAGCCTCCAAAGCCACAAAGAAACCCTGTCTCAAAAAACCAAAAAAAAAAAAAAATTCAGATGGAAATTTCAATAAATTATCTGTAATGATTTGTAGAGTCTTTACATGGTTACACAACACATAGCATGTCTGTTTATTCCAACTGACACAGACAGGCAACACAGGGACCCCCACACCTACCATCCAATCCGATCCTATTCATTTTATTTTAAGTGAGTGATCCAGAAATGTCTGTGAAATTTTCTTTTAAGCAAATACTTCATGAGAACCTGCTATCTGCTGGGAGCCAAGTTAGGTAATTTCCCTTATGATATTACAGTTAATGAAAACATTGATTCTTTCACGCTTCTCAGAATAGAAACTAGGACTAGCTGCTAAGCAATGGAGAAAAATACCTTCTTGATTAAATTGAACTCCACTTGAGCTACCTTGACCTATCAATTCAATATGCAAAATATACACTTTTATTATTTCTTGGGTGTATTTCATTAAAAATAAAAGTCTAAAAGAACTTTTCACTTAGAAGTTCTTTTATTAGATGATAGGCTGGTTGAAATCAAGGGGAGATCTTTCTATGTAACCTGCTGTGTTCAATTCCCAACTTTCACGTTTGGGTTCATAGTGAAGGGTTCTTCAATAAATTCCCTGTGCACTCCCTATGAAGTTGCTTTCTCAGGGAAACCAGTTATTAAGAAACCTTCACAAGAAGAGTTAATACCTTGAATAAGAGTTTGGTCTAAATTACAAATTACCTAGCTAGGTATTAAGAATTATTTAACAACAATGACTGCATTGTTCCATGCCTTTGTGGCAGCCAGAAAGATATCACCCTATCTGTAGAAGAATAAATCTCATGCTTTCAATTCTCTGAATAAATTGCCAATCCCCATGTGCTCTTTACCAACTGAGTCACAGTCAATGTGCAGTTGTAATTGTTAGCTGCTCTGGAGCTATGTTTGTGTCTATAAAATAATTAACACAATCTAGGCATTTAGATGGAGATAATGATTTCAATGTTGGTAGCTGAAAGAGATTTAGCAAATGAAAATATAAACTCAGAACTTTTGAGTCATGGATAGATACAATGTTCCTTACAGTACTTTCTGTATGGATCTCTTTGACATGCAGGAGAAAGAACAAATACTAAAGCGCCTATATACAGGCTTCTTTAAGAACTGGTAAGAAGAGGAATGGCAGCCACTTGGCCATTTACCCAGCCCTGTGTGGTCTAAGTCCCGATTCTGCTACTTACAAACTTTTAACCATGGGCAAATGAGGACTTCTCAGACATGTTCTCCCTTACTCTGCAGAACTTCCCAGGGCGGGGGGTGGGGGGCGCTCTGAAATAACTTCCGAAAATTGACAGAAAAGCCAACATAAAACAAAACAAACAAAAGTCTTCTACAAATTTGTAAAGAGACACATGTGTATTTGGACTTGTTAGTTTGGCTTTTAGAAGACATGCTAAACTTAGAAAAAAAAAAAAAAAAAAAAAAAAAAAAAAAAAAAAAAAAAAACATTCCACCGGGTTTAAGGTAATGTGGAGTCAAACTGGAGATCTTCCTGAGAGAAGCCATGCGTTATTTAATACGGCGTGCACTCTCTTTGGTACAGTTTCACACTATGTTACCGTTCTTCAGCCTCCTTCACGCTGATTTCCATAGTAACTAGATGAAATGACTTTTTAACCAGCAACATATATAAGAATCCCCTTGTTAGAGGCCCCACAGACTGCTCAGGCCTCCTAGCCCGCATCCACATTCAGAGGGCTTGGTGCGGTCCAATGCTGGTTCCTCAGCTGAACGACTAGGGTCTCTGTGCCCTCCTTAGTGGAGCCAGTGTTTATCCCTAGAGCACAAATGGACTTTAGGAGCCCATTCCCTATGGAGGGATACTATTGCAGCCCAGATACAGTAAGGAGGGCCTAGGCCCTCCCCCAAATGATGTGACAGACTATGATGATTCTCCCGTGGAAGGCTTCACTATCCTTAGGGAGTCTTGGGGGGTGGGTAGGGGGCATGAGAGAATGGAAGGGCAAGGGAATGGGGGGATTGATACGCTTCTAACATAAAAGGATATGGTACATTAAAAAAAAAAAAAAGAATTCCCTTCCCCTGTATCCTCACATTTGGTTTTGTTTGTTTGTTTTGTGTTTTGTGTTTTGTGTTTTTTTATGGCTATTACATCCCAGCTAGTAACTCCTGGACCAAGAGGTAACAAGAAACAAATGAACAGCACCAGAACTGGTAACCAAAGGACTCTTAAGTCAACATACCATAGAGGTACCTGAACATCCATATTTACTATAGTACAAGTCACAGTTGCTAAGTAATGGCATCAGTTTAAGTATCAGTTAATTAGATAAAGAAACAAAAACTATGGCATATACATAATGCAGCTTTTTTTAGCCACAAAAAGAATAAATTGTGTCATTCATAGGAAAACTGAGGCAACAAGAGATAATTATATTAAGTGAAATAAGCCAGTCTGAAAAAGTCAAATATTGCATGCTTTCTCACATTTGTGGATTCAAGATTTTATATACATAAGACAAAATAAATATGAAGGAGAAGAAATGACAGGTTACAAGGAGTGGATGTAGTTAAAGTATATGCCATCCTTAAAATAAACTGTCTTTATGAAGCCTAGAACTATATGCAATGTATGAACTCCAATTAAAACTAAACACAAGTGAGAAAATAAAGAATGCACTTTGCCTGGATTTCAGCTGCTCACCTATAAAAAGTTAAAATGCCAAATTATGTGTTCGAAAGCATATATTTATGAGTTTTCAGAATTCACAGATTATGCCAAGCTCTTCTTTCTTTTGATGTTTTAATTTCAGTGAATAAGCACTTAACACTGGAGGGACCTGCAGCTGTTTCCAGTGTCAAGCTCTCATCCAAGGAGACGATAAACATACATTATTGAGGTAGTCATAGAGCAAAGCAACTCAAGGAGCCTTGGCGTACCCTCCAGGAAATGATGGATTTGTTTCAAAGTATCTTTGATACAATTCCACCAGCTTTTAATTCAAGAATACAGTAATATTTCACATTGCTTAGACATGAGGAAGCATTTCAAATATATATTATGAAACCATTATCCTACCTGAAAGGGCTGCCTGCTGGAAATGGGGAGGTGTTTCCTTATCCATCTGTCGCCTTGATCCCCAAATATCTGCCACAGCAGCTGTCCCCTGGAATTGCTCCAGATTCTCTGGTAGACAGCCAGCTGATAAATATGCTTTCCAAACATGTGGTAGTACAGGCGGAAGGTGCAGCTACTTGCTTCAGTGGCGTTAAGGATCGGGCTGAGTAAAATAGCTTTGTCTTGAAAATCCTGTGGCCCTGATGTTTCTATGTAGAGGTAATGTCCTTTGGCGGTGCCCAGTGTGTTATCCTTCATCGGGCCTGTATTCAGGGTTGAAGTAGGACCCTGGTTCCTGGTCCAGTCAAAGTCATCTTCCCTACTTTGCTCCCAGTTACAAATTCCATTTTCAAAGTCACACTGTAGTTCAGGTGCTGAAAAGGGCATTAAAGAACATGAAAGGAGTAGGGGGTGTGATTAAGAATATACATTGATACTTGGATCACACAAAGGAAAGCTGTAGTAGTTTTTAAATGTGACACAAAACAGTTATGGAAAGAGTAATCCCTAGACATCAAATAATATTTAATGGAGTGAAGATGAAATGTTTAGATCACTATCTTTTAAATATTTTTAGTGTTCATTCATTTTCATTTCTGATAATATAACCCTGAGCTTGTGATATAACTTAGAGGTAAAGCACTGGTCTGTCATGCACAAGGACCTAGGTTTAATCCCCACTGTAACTATTACCATGACCTCAGGCAAATGATCATGGCTGTTTCATCATAACATATTTTTGACTGGGTGCATTTGAAACTTAGCTGAAAGTGCTAACCAGGGAACATTAAAAGACAAGTAAACAAAACCACTAAAGCTTAGAGTTCACATATGAACCGTTGATTTAATTGACCCAAATAGTTTTAAAGTCTTGCACTGGGATTCTTATATTGCCTTTGGTGTGTGCACTTGTGTTTAGTGCATAGGCTTGTATGTGTTCCTGTTTTGTATGCATACATGCAGCATGAGGAACGTGTGTTTGTATGGAGGCCAGAGATGGATGCTATGTCAGATAACCAGCTATTCTCTTCTATCAACTTCCACCTAATTATTGTTGTTGTGTTGTTGTTGTTGTTGTTGTTGTTGTTGTTGTTGTTGTTGTTGTTGTTGTTGTTGTTGTTGTTGTTGTTGTTGTTGTTGTTGTTGTTGTTGTTGTTGTTGTTGTTGTTGTTGTTGTTGTTGTTGTTGTTGTTGTTGTTGTTGTTGTTGTTGTTGTTGTTGTTGTTGTTGTTGTTGTTGTTGGTTAATGCTCACATCTGTGCATGAGGGTACTCATCCCTCATGTGTATGTAGAAGGCAGAGGAGGACATCAGTGTTTCCCTCTGTTATTCTTTGCCTTCATCTTTAATGTGGAGTTTTTGTGGCTGAACATGGAACATGTGAGCTTATTGCTGTAGGCTAGGCTAGCAGCCAATTAGCCCCAGTGCTTCTTCTGGCTCTGGCTCTTTCCATGCTGGGGTTATTGGTATGCAGGGAATCATGCCAGCATCAGGATTTTTATGTAGGTGCTGGGATCCAAATACGTGTTCTCATGCATGCACAGCAAGTACTCAACTTCTGAGACATCTCTTCTGCTCCTTCTGGCACTCACTGATGAGCTATACTGATTGACCAAGGAGTTCCATCTCTATTCTGCCACCTTAATTTCACCCTATGGTACTGATGGCTTGCAATGTAGGTTCTGGAAATGAACTCAGGTCCACTGGCAAGTACTTTCCCCCCTGAGCCATCAGCCCAGTTCCTACATCAGGACATTTTAATAAGCTCCCTCAATGATTCTAATAGAGCTGGGAGTTGTTATTCTGTAACAATTCTAAATAAGGATTATCTGAGTATAATGGAAAAGTTGCTTACATCAAAGTGAAAAGTCTCAAATAAATTCCAGCTTATCAGACAAAACCCACATATTTCAAGGTACTCAAGAAGATTCTGATGAGGGGTTTGCCCAAATCAAACTCTAAAAGAGTATTTTTCATTTCTTCTCACTACAAATCCAAATGTCTCTACACAGCCACGACCAAATCATGGTCCCCCAATAGTAACAATGCAATTTCTTTCTCTATGTGAAACCACTTGGTACGTTCCCATATCCCCATTTAGTCTAAACTGTTTTATCTCAGCCCCAACTATAATGGCTTACAGTTCTTCTTCATTCATTTTCCCCTTATCATACATTATCTTTCCTGTATGTACTAAATACTTGTGGCTTCTTCCATATCTAATTTTGTGTACTGTTACATTATGTATGTTATTGACTCTCCATTGTGTCTCATCAATGGTATTTTTCTTTTTCATCTGATATTTTTATTTCATCTTGTTTTATTAGTTGTACATAGAAATTATACAAAATAATGCATCTCATTGTGACATTTTCATACATGCATATAACATATTTTTATCTTATCTACTACCTTCTATTACCATTCCTTGACATCTGTGGTATTTGAATGGAAATTATCCCCATAGGCTCATGCATTTGAATGTTTGGTTACTCAATTGGCAGAGCTGTTTGACAAGAATTAGGAGGTGTGGCCTGTTGGAGGAAGTGTGTCACCAAGGCAAGTTTTGAGGTTTCAAAAGCCCAATTGCCAATGAGCTTTCTTGGCTCCCTATTTGTGGATAAGTCACCTCTTACCTATTACTCTAGTGCCATGCCTTTTTGCCTGTTCTCCTACCATGGTAATAAGTTCTCATGCTCTTAAATATAAGTCCTCAATAAACTCTTTCTTCTATAAGTTGCCTTGGTCACGATGTCTTGTCACAGCATTGGAAAAGTAACTAAGGCAGAAGTTGGAAATAGGCTATTGCTGTGACAGACATGACCATGCTGGTTTTTTGGAGACATGTGGAAGATTTGGAGACTTTGGACTAGGAAAGTGGTTAAACACTGTAAGAACAGTAATGGGCCATCCCAAGAACAGCTTCGAAAACAGTATGGTGACCCAACTAAAGAGTTTTCATAGGGAAACAATATTAGCAACTGATCTAGAATTCTTGTCATATTTTGTAAACAATGGGTCTGCTTTTTGTCCTTTTCCTAAGAATCTTCCTGAGGCTAAACTGAAGAATTTAAGACTAATTCTGTGGCTGAGCTTTCAAGACAGCCTATTTTGACTCTGCCCTGTGGTTATTAATAATCATGCTTATGCAAATCTATAGAAAAAGGGAGCAAGGAAGACAAAAGGAAATAAAAAATGTACATTTTTCAGGTGAAAAGGAGCCAAGGCTTGTACTGAGAGAGATAATGAACCCAGATATGAAAGGGAATAAAGGGAGTCATTCCTTCAGGACAAGACCCCATACAGCTAACCTTCCAACTCATAAAAAGGAAACTTTATGCAACAAAGGAAATTTTATACAATTCTAATTCAGAGATAGGATCAGGTTGAATTCCAAGCAAGCAGCCCAATTTGGCAGCATTGGCCATGTGGTTCAGGCTTTAGAGTACGAGTAAAGGTGTTGTGAATCTTCCTCCACAATTAAAGAAAGCTACTGCGACCAGGTATGGTGTAGGGAAGTCCCTGAACAGAGGCCTGGACAGTGAAGTTGTAAAAGTGAAGCTTAATTTGGGTTCAAGACCCCCAGATGTAAGAGGTGCCAGAGGCAGAAAATGTCAGCCCAGGAGAGCAGCAGATAAGGAGTGGAACTAGCCCAAGATAGAGAGGTGTGTTGTAGTCAGCAAAGGTGGAATTGCAGAGCCATCTAAGCCCTTTGATAACAGACATAGCACTACAAGATTTGGAGTTTGTCCTGCTGGGCTTCATTTTTGCTTTGACCCAGTATATCCTCATTATGACCCCATTCCTTGCTTTTAGAATGATAGCTTGTATTCTGGACCATTGCATGTTAGAGGTGTATGATTTGCTGTTTGACTTTACAAGGAGTTAGTTACAATTAAAAGTGTTCCTAGAGCCTCAAAGAGACTTTGGACTTTTAAATTGCATTGGTTCTGTGGAAGACTACGGGGAATATTGAAGTTGGACTAAATGCACTTTATATTATGATGGGACCACAAGCCTGTTCCGGTCATGGGGTGGATTGCGATGCTTTAAATGAGACTGAGAATATAGGCTCATATATTTGGATTCTTGGTCCCTAGCTGATGGAACTCTTTGAGAAGGATTAGGATGCATGGTCTTGTTGGAGGAGGTATGTCATTGGAGGGGTTGGAAGCTTCGAGGTTTCAAAAGATTCATTCCATCCATAGTTAGCTTGCACATCCTCCTTCTTATAGGTAAAAGTATGCTAGGACTCACATATGCTCCAGTGCCATCACTACCTGACTGCTCCCATGCTCCCCACCAGGATTGTCATGAACTCTCATCTGAAGCTGTAAGCACACAATAAACTCTTTCTTATATAAGTTGTCTTGGTCATGGTATCTTACCATAGAAATTGAAAAGCTTACTCTCTCCCTGATTTTTTTTCTTCTTTTCTATTAGTCCCCATCACATGCCACTTATTTATTTTTAATATTGGTCTATGTGTATTTGTGGGCCCAAGTGTACCTACCTGCACCACATTCATGCAGTAGCCTGTAGAGTTTAGAAAACGTATTCAATCCTCTGTAACTAGAGTTACAAAGAGCGGTGAGGTGTCATGTGGTACGGGGAACTGAACCCAAGTCCTATGTAATAGCAGTAAGTGCTATACCATTTCTCTAAACCACGTTTTTCTATTTTCCATTAGATTTTACATGTGGCAGAAAGGATGGCATACTTGCCATTCTAAGTCTAGCTTATTTCATTCAGTATGATGGCCTTTAGTTATATAATTTTTCTGTATACAACATGAGTTTGTTTTTCTTTGTGCCTGAACAATAGACGATTGGCTATACACACAACATTTAATATGTCCATTTATTCCATTGATGAGTATTGTGAGTCTGACTCCCTAAGTTGCCTCTCATGACTAAACATAGTCAAATGTATAACAATGGCAATTAGATACTATCTTAGACTCCCTCAGTTACATACCCAGTAGCAGTGTAGCTGAATCATGTGACAGCTCTATTTTGGGGTATGTTGACAAATCTCCATGCTGATTTCCATAGTAACTGCACTAATTTATATTCCCTTTACGTTACACATAGGGAGTTTGGGCTTTTAAACTTCTGACATCATTCAGTCAAACTTAAAAATAATCTACAAGGACCTCATCAATCAAATACTCTATATTTAGGTTAGTATTAGAATATGTTCATTTTTCAAAACACAATGATCTTGTTGATGCCCGATATTTGCTTTGGAAAAAATGGGATGAAAATATACATTTGTGGGTACTGGGCTGAGGAGAAAAGAGTTAGAATTTATAGCGAGTTTCACATCTTAGCTCCATTTACATATTAATAGTTAAAATATAAATATCAGCTCTCTTCTAACTATTCATCTTGGTGATGGTTCTCGGTGCCAAAGGTGAGCCAGCACCCTGAACAATAAATAGAAGTGCGGTTGAAACAAAGCAGCTAGGCAGGAACAAGCCATCTGAATGTACAGCCCTGAAGAGAAGCTCAGACATAATGAAAGGAGTCAGTGAGCAGATGACAGCGGCAAGACGGGCTTTCATCTGATGGCCCCTCAATCGTGACTAATCAAGCCAGCTGTGATGTGAACTGGGGACTTTCCAGGTACTCCCCAGGTGTCAGTCTTTGGCTGTGAAGCAGAAGGGGATTGTCAAATTGCTGAGTTTTTGACGTAAAACTGACACTAAAGCCAACAAGTTTTTACACTGACTGTTGGCACACTGACTCCACATTCAATCTTCGTTCCAAAGGAGAATACGGGGAACTCCACCATTCAGTGGAGGACCACATCTCCAAGCACCCTAAAGGAAACAGAGCATGAATGTTGGGATGTGCAATGCATACTATATTCAATAAGGTAATGTCTCCACGGATGCCACTATTATTTCTCTGCATCATTGAACAGTGAAGAATATGTTAATATTGTGATTATATTTATTTACACTATGATACACCATACTTAATTATACTAATATTAGGATATTTGAAGGCAATTTAGAAAAACTCAAAAAGCTAGAAATAACTTTCCAAATTTGCAAAAGACTAAATTAGATTTTAAAACAAGTTATATATCATGAGATTACTACAACCAAAAATCAATGTTAACTCTATCCAATCAAATAGAAGTTGTATAACTTTCATGAGCTAGATGGAAATTTGGACTTAAATATATTTTTTATTAACATGTATATGAAAAGTCATATACATGCAAAGCTTTCCACAGTGACTTAAATGGAAATTGCTATCTGCATGTTTCCTGTGAGGGTACAGAACAGTCCATGGTTTCATTTTGGTTTCTAATGATTTTTCTAATTTATGAAACACATGTTTGATATTTATAAATTATCTTGAGACATGATAGGAGTCTAAGAATGATGTAAACAGTTTTGTAACAGACTTTTGAAAACAAAATAATATGGCTAGTGGCTAATTCATTTTCAGATGCAAGCACATCATCTGTGGGAGCCTGGTTCAATAAACTGCAGGCCAGACCATCAGAAGATAACACAAACTTTTTGCAGTTTGAAACCTGATAAACAAATCTGAGCCTTGGAACTTCACTGCTCCTGAACAGACAAACAAGCAAACAAACCAAAGAGGCTGCCAAGTCAGTTCAGCCAGGAAATGCACTTGCCACTGTGGCTGATAACTTGAATTTGATCTCAGCACCCACATAGCAGAAGGGGAGAACTGATGCATGAAAGTTGCACTCTGACCTCCACTAATACACTATGATATGCATAATCATTCATTTATGTAACATAGAAGCATAAATGAAAAAACTAAAAATCCTTACCAATAAAAAGACTGATATGTTTGGTTAATTTGATCAATTGACCACACAGTATTCATCAATTTTTCAATTATATTTGAGTCACTAGCTAAATTCCTAAAAAGTAGTGAACTAATTAAGATCAATACTTCCAAAGTATATGAGAGGAAGTACATAGCACCCTTTCTCTGGAGAAAACAAATCAACCCCAAATAACTTACCACAGCCAATCTCATCTGTGCGATCTCCACAATCATCCACCAGGTCACAGAGCTGATGCCTTCCCACACAAGCCTTGGTCTGTCTACACCAGAAGTGATCTGGCTCATCACAACTCTCAACAGGAGGAGGAAGAGCACAGTTTTCAAAATGAATGTCATCAAGAGCAGACACCCCACTATAAACTGCCAGACTGACTTTCTCTAGTGACAGGTAGAAGGGCTGAGTGAGGCGTCCTAGCTGGACAGTTGCCTCTGACCACTGGTGGCCTTGGTTATATAACACTCTCCAGAGGGCTGTGGTATCCTTGGAATATTCTAGATGTAGCTGCAACTCAGCTGCCCCCACTGACAGTCCATAGTTATAAAACCTGAAAGAAAATCAACATAAGAAATGACTAGACAGTTGAAATTTGTACAACTTTGAACTTCCATTTACACCAATTACTATTTAATTATGGTAATGGACATATTTCATTCCTACAGTAACTGTAGCTGCCCATTTGTAAGAATTTATCTGCTGAGATACACACTGAATGGCTTTCACAACTCAGGAAGCCTCTTACAAAACACAGGGAGACTCCAAATTAAATTAAAATCCAATGGCAAAAGGGAAACCCTCCTTTCATCTTAAATAAAATAATCAATGCTGATAATACACTCTGACATTGAAATTATTTTAATTTAATGCAGTAGTCACTATAAAGTTTAATCAAGGGTAACCCTTGAATATCTATCAAGTTCAGGGATATGTCTGCACCATCATCCTACTAGGATAATTTAGTACCATCTAATACTTACCAGAAAGACAGTGTGCACCCAGGCCCTGTCTGGCTGAATGTGGGGCTCCGAAGTTTAGCAGTTTGAAACAAGCTGCTGCTGTTCTTCAAAATGAACATGAAACGCCCTGTAGGGGATTTAAAAAAAAACAAAGCATTAATTTTACCTACGAATTCTGTGAAACAACAAGAGTTTGTCTCTTAACACTATGCCAAGTAAGTTTCATGTCCCATTAAAATTAAAATTATACAATGAAAAATCAATACTGATAGCAAAATTTGTTTTTGTATTTACATCTACATTTAGATGATGTCAATAGCCTTTGATAATTTCAGTTTATGCAGGCAAAAATATATCAGTTCCAATACTATCACCCATAAAGAAACCATTTCTTGCAGACAGCACAACTGATTGTCAGTGCCATCCTATATGCTGTGGTCTTCCTCCTCTGAGGTCCAAGCAGCAGTCTATAGAAGTGTGTAAAGCATCTCTAGAGTTTTACCTCGAGCTGTACCATGAGTGTGATCTCCAGGTGGGGCTTGTTGCTCAAAATCAGCAGAAAGACTGCTTTGGGAGCTCCATACCCAGTCAAAATGGTCACCGTCACTAGCTTCAAACCACCCACAGCTGTTTGCTTCAAAGTCACAATCAGCAACTGAAGAAGAGAAATAAGACTTTCTTAGACAGCTTCCACAGAGTCCCCTGCTTTGGGTAAGCAATGCTCAATTGGTTATGGCCTCATTGTGCCCCTTTAGGTACAGAATCACAGAGTAAAAAGGTCTTTCCTAGCCTGAAAACAGGACATGCTTTGCATACTGGAAACAGAGAAGAGGCAGAGTTTCAGAATTTCAATTTTCCCAAGCATTTTTTTTCTGAGACACATCATCGCTCAGCCACATTGCTTAAGGAATTATTAACATTTGCTACTTCACCCTGATAATGTGTCATATCCCCTCCTTCAACAGTATTGATCTCACAGAAGTTAAGAGTAGAAGATGACTACTACAAATAGAAGAGAAGGAAGCAATGGGTGTAGGTTGGCCATTGTTTTATAAGCTATGAGTGGGATAGGGCAAGAAGTCTTGGTCAGCTATTGCTCCACATTTTAAAAAGACAAAAACGAGTTTTGAATACTCTTACCACAAGAAATGAAAATATTTAAGGAGAGAGAAGTGATTTCCAGTATTTTAATACCATTCAATGCATATGTATTAAACAATGAATTGCACCACATGAGTATATACAATTTTTAATGTATCAAAGAAAAATAATTTTAAAAGAAGCAATTTTAATAGAAAATGTTATTAAAACTCAAATGTGCTTTTCTACCATTTCTCATTCCCAAGTTCTTATGCACATTTAAAAATTTTAATTATTTATAATGTCATAATGAAATTAGTCTCAAGGCTAGCCATTAATAGCACATATACCTTACTGGAATAACCATAGACAATTATGCATGTCATAACGATTTCTGACTGAGAAATGCAATACTCTTGGTGTATTTGAATAAGTGAGGTTCAAGGATTTGTCACTGCTTCTGGAGCATTATTGACTTCCTCAATTATCTCCACTATAAGCAATGCATGCACAAACAATACTGCAGTCACCATTTACTCAGAGTTCACTTGCAGGCAGCTTTGTGCTAGGAGCAGTTCCATTTTTAACAGAAGGCCTGTTGACACACAAATTCTGAAACTTATGCTTGTCTTTTCTGTGGCTATGGATAGAAAGCTAATGACTCTGCAATAGCTTTTAATTATTGTGAGAAAAATTACCTGAGTGGCCTATATTAATTATGTTAATTACAATTACATTTGTTGCCTCTGGGGAGAGGGTGTTAGGAGATACTTGGTGGGATGACAAATAGGTTCATCACTGTCAGTTTTGCAGCCATTTGCTGGGTAAGAAGAAGAATAGGTGTGGAATCCAAGAACACCTTTGACAGTAAATATCAAGACTCAGACGCTTTCTCATTTTGGATTCACTATCTAGAAATTCTTTGGTGGTTTGACTGATGCCATTTCAGTTTAATGAAAGGAATAATCACAAAATATAATAAAAGACAATTTTGAATTAATAATTTGGGCATCACACAGAATTTTAAAAAACCATAGGGGAAAATATGCCCTAATGTACAATGATGTTGAACACACATGCTTTCATCGTAGCCACATAGGCAGATGCCCATGTTGAGTTTAGAAAATGGTAGGCAGTGCTTGTGAACAATGGTTTTGAAAAGTTAGGATCTGGGACAAGAAATATGATGACTCAAGGGTTAAGAGCTTTGCTGCTCTTCCCAAGGACCTTGGGCTGATTCCTAGCACCCATATGGAGGCTCACGAGTCTGTTAGCCCTATTTCAGGGGACCTAACACACTCTTCTGGCATCCCTTGGTACCAGGAAAACATGTGGTGCATAAACATTCCTGCAGGAAAAGTACCTATATACATAAAAATTGAAATAAAATAAATTTAAAATTAAAGTTAATAAAAAGGATCTGTTAATAAAAGGATCTATTGCTCATTCAAATGCTACCACTGTAGATCACAAATACCTGAGGCAACAGCCATTGATTCTGTGTGGAAAACATCTTGAAACACCTGCCATCTTACCTAAATCCCAAGAAATCCCCCAGAGATATCATTGTACTTTAAAAATGTTTTATGGAATTTCACCGTGTGAGGGGATAAGGTGGCACGTGCTGCCTGCATATAGCAATCAGAAGACAACTTGCGAGAGTCCAGTCTCCTCTTTTGGTAATAGATGTGAATGAACAGAGACCAGAGAACTGGTCAGCATGCGGAGAGTAAGAGTCCTTGGAGTGCTTTAAGCCTACATGAGATGATTATACCATGTACCTGCCCCTTAAGGCTTCTGGGAAGAGGGGACAGAAAAATTATAAGAGCCCAAGATGGTAGGTATTATTAAGAAAACAGTGTCTTCTGGACACTACAGTGCAGATGCACGAATGAACTCACAGTGATTTTGAAAGCATGCACAAGACCTGTGCACACTCTAGTTAGACAAAATCTCAGTGCAGAGTGGTAAAGGTGGACACAGAATACACCACTAGCTGAAGAACTTTTGGGGACTTGAAAGCTCCTGGGACATGGAGAAATAGTTTTCTATCACAGTGTGAACCCTTGTATATTGGCTGCACTCCAGGGCAAGCCCCACAACCAAAAGAAGTTGGGCAAAAGAAACTGGACTCAATGTTTTTAAGAGTGTTCACAAAGTCAAGTGGGTAGTGGAGTTGGAGTAGATCTGGAAGGAACTGTGGGGAAAGAGAGATAGTGAATAGGATAAATGTATATGAAATTCTCAAATATTATTAAAATAACAGTTCTTAACAGTTACAACATGCCAGGTGTTAAACTACATAAACAAATAAGTCTAAAAGATTGATTCAATATTTATTTAAGGTTTTTTTTTTTCTTGTAAGGACTGGATAGATGGATCAGCAAGTAAAGTGCCTGTCACATAAAGGGCCTGAGTCTGAAGCTTAGCATCTACATACAAATTTGTGAAAAGAAGTCAGTATCTGTAACCTCAATCCTAAAAGGAGGGTGTGGGAGACAGGTGCATCCCTTTAAGGCACTGGTCAGCCAGAGCAGCTAAAACAATAGGTGGAACTTCAGAAAGAGAAAGAGATCCTGTCACAAAAATATAAGGTGGAGAACAACCAAGAAAGACACCTGACAATGATCTCTAACCTGCATACATATATGTACACACCCAGATGTATATTTAACATATGCATGTATATACATCACACAAACACACACACACACACTGTAATCCCTTCACATGTATATACATCACACACACACACACACACACACACACACACAGAGAGAGAGAGAGAGAGAGAGAGAGAGAGAGAGAGAGAGACTAGTCCTCTAGCTTTCCTGAGCTTCTTGAAAGTTGCATGAAGAATAAAAGTTGAGTATTCCAGTGTGGTGGATTATGTTCATTGAGGTCAGGCTTTGACTAGGCAGTTATTGTTTTAATTTTTAAATTCATTTATACTGTATCCCCTATTTTAGAGTATGTTCTCTACTTTTGTAATAATTTCATTTCAGATTTTATCATGCCTTCAAGTGATTATATGCTTGAAGTTAAGATAAGTTTGAAATAATTGAGCTGTGAACTTCATTAATAGTTAATATTCATTAACTATTTAAAATATAATATATAACAGGGAGAAAAGATTTGCAAATGAACTAACTATGAAATAAAAAAGAAGTCCATGTAAATGAACAGAAGGAGTTAAATATTCTAAAGGAAAGCAAATGCATAAACAACCAAAAAGCATTTGCTCTTCAAGATTGCTGCACTTTAAACAACAATGGTTCATGGCATTATCATGCATATATTTTAATAACTATAAATTTATGTTTATTTATCAGTAAAATAAATTGAAAACAAAAATGCTCCTATTAAAAACTTATTACTACAATATGGTTTTAAAAGAATCCTGTGATATATCTAATACAGACTATGAATAGACAATTCTCCATGCATCTCATGCTTTGGAACCCACCTATGATGGGATACAATCATTGCCTACCCCTGTCCAAAACTGTCCTTTTAAGGACAATTAAATAGCAAAACACTTTACTCTGCATAAGGAAAATAACTATCCCACATAATAAAGGCAAAATTTTCATAAAACTCAGTAATAAACAGGTTGATGCAATCTATTGTTAGAGAAAATGGATGGGGAAGGAAAATCTGGAATATTGGTGAGGAAGCAAGCCTACAGCTGTTCATGCAACACTCATACAAGAGGACAGCAAGAGTCTTGAGAGCCTTGAGAAAAATAAATGCCTCTATTTTTTAAATAGGAAAGGGGATGAAAGCAAGGAAGAGAAAAAACATACATGATGAAATTAGATATCTTTTCAACATATAGCTATAATTTTCAATGAGATGAGAAACAAGTGAGATGCTTTAGGAGTACAAGTGAAAAAATCTACTTAAAAACAATATATTTTATTTTATATGCTAAATATATGAAATATATTATATTTATGAATACATATATCATAAATGGTTATATATATACATTTTATAAATGTATATATATGATATACAAATGTATAATATAACTTATAAAATAAGGATACTGCAAAAGTCTAGACAGGAAGGAATACATGGTACTGTGAACCTAGGCAAAATCTTATGTCTAAGTACACTATAGGCCCTAGAGGATATTCCATTACTGATGCTTTTCCAAATGGACATGTAGTTACTGTGCAATCTAAGTATTTATAATTGTACACATGGACTAGTGATGTTCTAGCCTTGGTCAAAGATTAATTAACCAATAGTGGTTAATATAGATACTTGTGGATGGGTAAGGTTTTGAAAATAAGTGACTGTTGAGTACTTGATGGGTGCTAAATATGTATCTATGTCAAACTCCTCTAGGGCCCAGGGAGTATTACAGTAGAGGAGGAGAAAACACTTTAGGAGCTAGAGGACAGGGCAAGGAGTGTAATGAAATACGGTCTTTAGACTATCATATGGATGTTGCAATAATGAATCCACAGAAGCTGTGGCTACACACACACACACACACACACACACTGACATGAAAGTAGAAGAGAACTATTTCAGAAGGTATCAGGAGAATGAAAGAATAAAGGG